TGCAGTATGTAATGATTACATTTATCACTGGGAATTGCTATATGAATATAACACATCTTAATTCTGCTGAATTCCATTACCCTCCTATGTGTGCAGTTTTTATGGTTTTATTTTAACACAAGTACAATAGGTACCTGTTTGCCTATTTATCTTCCTCCTCTAACAGACTGGCATTGGGCCTGCTGTCTCCGATGGACAGCTGTGCTGTTTGTTTTTTTTTTTTAGACAGGGTCTCTCTAGGCAGTTCAGGCTGGCTTTGAGCTCACTTTGTAGCCCAGGCTGGCCTCGAACTCTCAACAGTCCTCCTGCCTCAGCCTCCCAAGTGCTGGGATTACAGGCATGTGCCAAAACACCTGGCTTCTGTGCTGTTCTTTACACAAAATTTGCAGTTCTTGGAGAAAGCACTGTGAGCGATTTCCAGACAGTAAGATCTGCTGTACACCAGCGGCCCTTCAGGCCACTTGATACAGTGGAAAGAAACTTTGGGAAGCTGTCGAGCAGCACATGCTTTGTTTTCTTGTTGCTGCATCTCTAATTTTGAGCGCTAAGAACTGGCTCTTGACTCTTCTCTGTTCCCAGTTAGAAATATCTCTGGGATTCTGTAGTTATGCTTAATTTTGACATGTTTTTCTAATTGGTGCTGGGTGATCTTCTTGGTCCTTTTTAGGATAAACTTGGGCTTCACCATTGGTCTGAGGGTAGCCAGGATGCTGGGGAGGAGATGGCTGTCACCACTATAGGCAGTGTATTTTCCTTGAAGATTTTCTTAATGTATGCTGTTTTATTTTATTCTATTAACATATTTGAGTATTTTGTATAAATCATCATATTGAACCTAGAAAGACAGAAAATAATCAAGAAGGCACATTTTTCCCAAAGGATCGCTATATTGTCAGTGCCGTAAGAAAGTGATGTATGTGTTATCACTGAGGGGGAGCTGAGCAGTTCTCGTACAGCTGAACACAGGGGGATTTGAGAACTGAAGAGGGAAACTGGGACAGGAGAGACAGAGGGATCTGAAGCTTCAGCTTTATTCCCAAAATGCAGGCATTCATTAGTAAAGGTTTGGTAGTTTGTGACAAAATGAGATAATTAAAGATAAAGTCATGGTATTGAATTGTTTATTCAAGCTAAAATAAAGGTTTAGATTTTTGTGAAATGATTCTTTTTCTATTTTATTGTTAATACTTTCTTTTTTTTCCTGAAATGATGATGATAATGATATGTTTAATTTTAGAAAAATGTTTGTACTTTGCAGGAAAGACACAAACAAAACCCTCCAAATTCACATCAACTCTTGTTAATGGTCATGTTTTTTATTTCTTGGGAAATAGATCCATAAAATTCCCAAATCTGGAGCAGTACTAGTAAACGACCTTTCAGAATTGTCCTTGACTGCCAGCTCTTTCTGTGAATTATCAATAAAGAACCTTCCCTGACGAGAACAGAAGCCTCATCACCACTGGGCATCATGCCAGGGGAGGGTGAGGCTGGAGGTCTGGGCAGTGCCC